AAGTATAGTTCCTGTTATTCGCTTGATTAGTGAGCTCTTCAGAATGGTGTAGTGCTCCAGTATTACGTCAATGTCAGGAATTCTCGGCACGTATTACAGACATTATTTTATCTTTAGATGCAATATTTTGACAGTTGGCTCCACACGGCCTCTACTACATCAGGCGAATCAAATTAAAATAAATGTGTCTCGTGTTACATCATTATATTAACTAAACCTACCGCGTCCACTCTGTCGCGTTGGTGAAAACGTGTATGAAATGTATTAACACTGCCGCACATGAAATGAACTATAGTTATCATAGCAGACAATGTAATTTTTCTACTGTATGATGGTGGTGTGCTGCGCATTAGCCGTGCCGTGCATGTTTTCATCTCGGGTTTCAAACTATTAAATGAAGCTTACAATTAACAGTTGTAGTGAATACGTGGAGTATATGTGCCTCGCTTGATACTCACTCCTCGTGTCTTAAATATAATCTGGCTCTATAGGAGCAAATGGTGTGCAACACAGCACAGTATTATACTGAAACCCCGTAACATTTACTATGAAATTATAAACAGCCGTAGTATAAGACTCATTTGCCGAGTTCCTAGAAAATACGACGGATATTAATTACACGTTAAAATATCTGATGCATGTGAAGTGTTGTAAGTTTGACTAGTGTGGAGTTTTTCTTCGTTATTCTCGCACTTTAATGAATAAGAACAATATCAAGGAAATTAGCAATGATGACCGCCGCGCAACTAAAAAAAAAACAACGTGCAATCGCACAGACGTAATCGAAACAAGCACGTATGTACTTAATACATTGATGGGGCGTGAAATCACACACAGTATGATGAAAAGCTCTCGTCAATCACTGGGTTCATCTTGTAGCCAACGTAAAAGAATCATTTCATGTTGTCTGGGTGAAATTACACAATAAAACGCAATTCCGAAATTTGAAGTCACGACATTACTCATTCACACGATGTCAATATGTCTATCGCATCAGGTTCGAGTGTCAAAGCGCAGAAAACAGAGTAGCTGGGAACACAACACAAGCTACACAAGTACATTCACTACATGTAACCAAACTTCAAATATCTATTGTATACTCGTCTATTCTCAGCAGTTTTATAGCTTGTGCCATTATTATGTAGATTTCAAGATTACAAGTTAGCTATATACGCACAACTAACGTAAGTGTGTGATAACTGTGGCAGATAAGATAAAGAAACTATCAGTATACGATGGCAGTGTGACGTAGATGTTTCACAATTATTAATTTGGTAATTTACAACCAGACGGTGTAACGGCATGGGTAACTGTCGAGACACTATTACATTATTATTTGATGATGATGGTGCGAGTTAATGTGTCATTGATTGACCAATTAAGCGAATTAGAAATTACCCTGTATATAGGATCACATTTTCCAATTATCGGTAAATTAATGCCTCATTATTTTATGCCTCATGACGTACTGATTACTTGTGCATTCCACGATGGCTTACAAGATTATTCCCCACGTAATAAGCAATTAAACCACATTCTGGGTCTTTGGTCCCA